CCTTGGGGCAAGTAATAATGCTTTCTGAAATAACTCCATTTATCAATCTATCTGCTGCTTCCTTGGTGAATTTAATTGCTCTTCCCCACTGCTTACTTGACTAGGTAATACAGCTTTGTTCTGCACGTATAGAACGATATGCTTAATAAGCTCAAAGATAAAGTTGAGGAAAGTATTTGAAAACATGAAGGCTCGTGTCAAAACAAGAGACTCATTTTTTTGCAAGGTTGATGGCAAATTTTAGTTTATTGGGGTTTTTTTCTTATTTTATTTCATAATCTGGGTAGCAACATGTATTTCATAAATATACTCTTGAAAAAATTTTAACTATGTTGGCTACTAGGTTATAAAAGCAATTGAAGAAGGCTATCGTTTGCCTGCACCCATGGATTGCCCAGCGGGACTGCACCAGCTGATGCTAGATTGTTGGCAGAAGGAACGTGGTGAAAGGCCAAAGTTTGAACAGATAGTTGGTATTCTGGACAAAATGATTAGGAACCCAAACAGCTTGAAAACACCACTGGGAACCTGTAGCAGGTAAGAAAAGTTCTAGTGTGCATTCATCTGATGGTGTGTGTGGCTGGGTTCTGGATGTTCTGCTTGATGGCTGGCTCCAGTTCACTCTTACTTCACGTGTCTCTCAGTTCCTCCTTCCTCCTATTCCCTGTTCTTTCCTTCCCTCATCTGCCCTTCTTTTTTACCACACTGAACAAAGCCAAACAGGACTTTCTTAAAAAGTAACTGAAATGAAGAAAGTAAATATGAAATTAACACACTTATCAGTAAACTACTGCCTATTTGTCACTCCTTCCATACTCTCACAACTAGCAGTCTTTGTTTTCCTTGTTTCTAAAAATGATGAAGTCTGGAGGGCAAGGATCATCATCAACTGTAGCTTGTTCCTTGCCCTAGGAACTGTTGGGGTAGAAACAGTAATTAATAATACTTATGCTTGGCCAATGTACTTTGACATTGCTACACTGTAGATTTTTATCTTTCATTTTCGGGCTGTATTTCCCTTCAGTGATTGCATCCCATTGTGTTTCATGGTGTAGCTTTCAATGGCTTCTTCATAAATTATGGTGGTAATCTTCTGATCCACTAGCTAGATCACTGCACTAGGGAATCAGGCCTGTGTTCTGCTCCCAGTTCTTCTACTGACTGATTTGCTGTGTGATTTTAAGCAACTTATTTTGTGTCTCTGCTCTTTTCCTGTCTTTGTTTTGTTCCATCTGGTTGAATAATAGGAGTAGCTACTACTATATTTTCTTAGATGCTGAAAAGAATAGCATCTTTATTTTACTTAGCAACTTTGGTTGCAGCTGATGTCACGCTAGGTAATAAGGTTGATTTTCTGCTGGTAACAATAGTCCATTAGGCTGATTTGGCTCACTCTGACCTTTCATCTTTTACATGAATAAGCTTAGGAAGTACATATTGTGAGCTACAGAGTAGTCAAGAGCTATTCACAGAATTACCTAAACTGTGTATAAAGGCCTATTACTTTCTACTCTTGACATTTTTAATACCCCAAACTTATTTGACTCTCGCCTTGCTAAATACTCCCTGATGTTTTACTCTCTTTGGAAACAACTTACTTTCCTTTTTCCTTCTCCATAGACCAATTAGCCCTCTTCTGGACCAGAACACTCCCGATTTTACCACTTTCTGCTCCGTAGGCGAATGGTTACAAGCTATTAAGATGGAAAGATATAAGGATAATTTCACAGCAGCAGGCTACAACTCTCTTGAATCAGTTGCCAGGATGACTATTGAGTAAGTTAGTACTGGGCATGTTTCACTTGCATTTAGGGAATTTCTAGGTAAAATAATACATAATGTTCAATTCCAAAACTTTTCTCCAAGTACAAACATAGTACTTGGGGTTAAGACAGGTGGTTTAGCAGCTGATGATGTTGTACTAGAGCATCTCAAGAAAGGGGAAATACCCTGCTACCAATGTGTGGCATCACTTTTTTCCCTGCCTTTTAGACCAATTGAAATAAGACCAAGGGGCTAGAATTTGAGAGAGAATGTGGTCCATTTCAAAGTATGTATGTATAGGCAAATAACCACTTTGCCTCCACTGCCTAAATGGTACCTTTTTCCAGATGTGTACTAGGAAAATACGGATTTTTTTTCTAATATTCTGGGGGCTGTCTGTGACCTGCAAGAAATGACTTTGCATGAGGATAAAAGTCTATAGAAGCAAAACAATTTTCTGAAGGCAAGCATGGCCTATATTGGTACTGCCATCTTAAACAGGTCTTCTGGGCACCCTGCAAACAACTTCCTTGTCCTGGTAGTTGCCAGACACATGTAATTCCTCTTACAGAGAGCAGTGTTTTTTCTAAATAAGTTTTTAAACAATATTCTCAAGTTTGCAACCCTACTCTTATGTGCCTGCTAGTCTAGGGGTCTCAGTCTATAGCTTGGGAACTGTCACCAGAGCCCGCAAGCTACTACTAGGTCAGTAGCACCAGCAGCAGTGGAATTGAAACAGCTGCTCCTTTTTCATATGCATGATGGATATGGGTCAATATGCAAAGGTTTTCTCTAGGCATCTCTTTAGAAAGCAGAATGTGATCCCCAAAATCTTGTATTTATCCATAACGTTGTCCTGAAAGCCAACCGAAGTATTTTACAAGAGAAGCGTCTCTTTCTTCGGATGTCCTTAAAAGCCCCAGTAAAAGATGATTGCAGTGCAAAATATGCTGGCCTCATTCTCAGATATGGGGACACATGCAGTGTAATTACATGACACTTGCCATGTAATTGCACTCCTTGCTGAGAAGTTGAACAGCGCCTGAATGAACTTCACAGCACTGAGCTGAGGTTCCAGTACAGCTTCAATATTAGAAACCTGTAGCTGAGACCGCTTCGTAGCTTTGACTCAGAGTTGAATACCATACAACAGCATCTAAGTTGAAAAATTAACAATGTACGCATTTATCTTCCCCAGGGATGTGATGAGTTTAGGGATCACGTTGGTTGGTCATCAAAAGAAAATCATGAGCAGCATTCAGACTATGAGAGCACAAATGCTACATTTACACGGCACTGGCATCCAAGTGTGATAGACATTTCTCCCTTATGAGGGAGGTGACAGACTGAGAGAACAGCACTGGCCTTCAGTATATATGAAGTGCTGCTAGAAGACACTTGATTTCCTGGGTCCTTCCTGCAGTGAATAGAAGAGCTACAAGAAGCACCTACAGACTTGAACTCCTAAGTGCCACCAGAATTTATGAAAAGGGAATTAGGATCCACCAGTGGTGGCAAGGAAAACAGCAGTGACAATAAACAAAGTACTACCTGAATAAACATACAAACACCTTGAGCTCTCTAACCTCCTTTTTATCTAATAGACTTTTTAAATGTACATAAAAATTTAAAAAAGAATATATTTGTCAGATAAAATCATGATACTATTGTTGAATTCAACAAAATATTTTCCTTAAATCTGTGATTTCTGAATCTTTTTTTAATCATTTGTGTTATTCTTCATAAAGATTTTCTTTTAGTATGATGTTTATATCTTTGGACCTTTTTAGTGCTAATTCTATGACACATTACTACACTGGGTACCTCTGAAGGATTATTTGAGTTCCTAGAGATTTAAGAAGCATGACCAAGCAATGTATATCTGTCTAAACTTTGGTATCTTTTTGTGCCATTTACTTTTGTTAAATCAGCACCGTATTGACATGGCTAGGTAATTGGCAGGGAGTCAGGAAAATGCAAGTTGCCAAGAGCTCTGATATTTTTTAAAGAATTTTTTAAGGTTACACATATACTATCTTTTAAAAGAAAATAATAGAGAAAAAAAAAAAAAAAAAAAAAAAGAAAAGAAAAGAAAAAAAGAAAAGCAATAATGACCCCCTAAGTAGTTCTAGGCACTTTTAGCAAATTGTTTGCAAGATTATTTTAATGGACTAGAGTTAAAGTGGGATAATATCCTGAGATGTAGATCTACAACTGTAAACCTGCTGAGATACTGCATTGAATGGACAAGTGATTGTAGGAGTGTCTCAGAACATAGGTGCAGTTCTCCAGTGTTTCCTAAACCAGTGAATCTGAGCACATCACATTTTTTTTCAATACTCTGCATTAGCAAATTTGAGAGAAATAGCAGGCATACATTTTATATGAGTTTAAACCATTCGCAGTCCAGCTGTCAGAATAAGGACATAGATTTTTTTATGAGAACTGTAGAGCATGAGGCAAGGGGCAGTTCAAAATTTTCAAATTTTTAACAAGCTTTTGCTCCTCTGAACAAACATGCATGTGTGTACTCACAGACACAGCAGTCACTCAGCA